TCCATGATTCTCCCGGGCATGTTAGCTATATTGCTTGCCATCAATTTTTTTCTTCTTTTTCTGAGAAGAACTTCCTCTGGTCCACTATGTCAAATTGTTGTCAGTTTTTTTTTTACAGAGATTTGTACATACCATTATCCTTCATTATATTAACATTTCATCTGCCTCAGGTTGGTGGTGATGTGGATGGAAAACTTGACGATGGCTCTGCTAGTTTGATACTCGACACGAGGCCTTCAAAAGTTGTGTCGACCGAATTGACGGTAAGTAGAAGTCTGCTAAATTAGTTTATAGTTTTATCAATCTTGACATCAACTGAAACCATGTTCTCTTCCGGTTTCTTCTCTAATCCAGGTTCAAGTGAAGTGTTCATTGATTTATATGGACTTTGAGGGCCGTTCTGATGCAAGATCGATCAAATCAATTCTTTCCCATATGGCTCCTCTAAAGCTTGTAAGTTTACTAATTGAATCTATATTATAACTGTCTTTTGAATAATCATTTGATTGTCCCGAAGTGTTTTTTCACTTAAACATAAAATTAACATTATGGTATGGTATGTGTTTTTATTTTTCCTGGAGGTGTTGGTTCACGGAACAGCTGAGGCCACGGAACATTTGAAGCAACACTGCTTGAAACATGTTTGCCCGCATGTTTATGCTCCTCAAATTGAAGAAACAACCGATGTCACTTCTGACTTATGTGCTTATAAGGTAAAATCTTAGAAAGAAAGAAAAATCTGATTTCTTTGTTAATCCGCGACTCAGAAATCCTAATTTAATTAATTTTGCATTATTTGAAATGCGGGTCCAACTGTCTGAGAAGTTAATGAGTAACCTTCTCTTTAAAAAGGTAAGCATGAGAGCATCAAGATTCACCTTACGTTGTCCATATCGTAATCATATCCTCCTCACCATCTTGATGTAATTACAAGCACAGCTCGGAGATTACGAAATAGCTTGGGTTGATTCTGAGGCAGGACAGAAGATGAAATGCTATCTTTACAACCCCTCTCAACCCCGCCTCCACCGCATGAATCTGTCCTTGTTGGTGACTTAAAAATGGCTAATTTCAAGCAATTTCTTTCCGACGAGGATGTTCAGGTACCATTTCCGTTCATTGCTTAATTTGTTGGACTATATGTTTCGTCACCAAGATTCGTTATGTGAAATAATCTCACTTTTTCAACTTCATGTTTTGAAGCCCAGAGAAAAGGTGAAGCTCTATGGAACTACTGTGTTTACAACGATCTTGATCTGATTTCCTTGACAGGTTGAATTTGCTGGGGCGCTGAGATGCGGTGAATATGTGACATTACGCAAAGTTGGGGATGCAAGCCATAAGGTTCGTCAGATACAGATATGCTAACAGTAATAGCACCCAAGTTTTTGGTACAACAGTTGTATTTTTGCAGATGGAAAATCTAACTAGCGTATTTATATTTTTTTATCTTTTTTGTAGGGTGGTGGTTCCGGCACCCAACAAATTGTGATCGAAGGCCCCTTATGCGAGGATTATTACAAGATCCGGGAGTATCTCTACTCACAATTTTATTTGCTTTAAGTAAAGATACATAATATCAAACGCCTTCAGATGAACCGTCATTTAGTCGTGATGTTAATTTCTAGTGATTTCATGAAACACACTAAAGTTTAATTTAAATATAGGACATATTTTCCGTTGAAGTTGACAATTCTGTTCAAATCTTCGAAACAAATTGACATTTTAACTTTTTTACGTGACAATATGCAACGAGTCGGGATAATGCGGCAAACATGACAAGTAAGTTACCATGCATTTTAGCTTCTCACCGATGCAATGCTGTGTGATTGGTTTGCGATATTTTGCAGACCCAATAGTTGATCTCCAGGTCAACATCAACGTTGGTCAGCAAAGGAGCTTTATTCGTCTCTTTATAAAATATGGAAACTAACAATTTATTAAGCAAACTCATTTGCCCTTTGTCTGATTGCCGACGGTTGACCATGGAAACCTGGTTCCTGATCCTCATCGCCTTCTGCGTCTCCTTCCTCCTCAAACCCCTTCTTTCCCTATTCCTACCCACTTCCATCTCCAAACCCAAGCTCCCTCCCGGGCCACGCTTCTTCCCCGTCATCGGCGGCTTCTTATTCCTCTTCAAATCCTTCTCGGAGCTCGAGTCTATCATCCTCAAACTCAAGGCCAAATACGGGCCCATCATCTCCCTTCGCATCGGCTCCCGCCCCGCCGTCTTCATCGCTGACCGCTCCCTCGTCCACCAGGCCTTAATCCAGAACGGCGCCGTGTTCGCCGACCGCCCCCGGGCCTCGGCCACCAACAAGTACGCCAGCAGCAACCAGCACAACATCAGCTCCGCCACCTACGGCCCCACTTGGCGCCTCCTCCGCCGCAACCTCAGCTCCGAAATCCTTCACCCTTCCCGCGTCAAATCCTACGGCAATGCCCGCAAATGGGTTCTCGACATCCTCGTCAACCGCCTCAAAACCGAGTCTCAATCCCACTCCGAAGCCACCGGCACCGGCGCCGGCGTCAGGGTGGTCGACCACTTCCAATACGCCATGTTCTGCCTCCTGGTTCTGATGTGCTTCGGTGACAAATTGAACGAAGAGCAAATCAAAGAAATCGAGCGGGTGCAGCGCCAACTACTTTTGAGTTCCGGGCGGTTCAATATCCTCAATTTCATGCCTAAATTGACCAAGATTATCTTCAAAAATCGGTGGCGGGAATTCTTCAAAATCCTCGAGGAACGACGAGAAGTGCTCGTCCCTCTGATTCGAGCACGACAAAACAAGGCAAAGCAGGGCAGCAAAAACGACGACAAAGACGATGAATTTGTGTTGTCGTATACTGATACGCTGCTGGACCTCGAGCTTCCCGACGGCAACGAAAAGCGGAAGCTTTCGGAGGGAGAAATGGTCAGCCTCTGCGCAGAGTTTCTGAACGCCGGCACCGAGACGACTTCCACCGCGCTGCAGTGGATCATGGCCAATGTAGTGAAGTACCCGCAAGTTCAGGAGAAGCTGTTTATGCAGATTAAAGGGGTGATGGGAGAAACGGAGGATGAGGTGCGGGAGGAGGTCCTGCACAAGCTGCCGTATCTGAAAGCGGTGATCTTGGAGGGGCTGAGGCGCCACCCGCCGGGGCACTTTCTGCTGCCGCACGCGGTGACGCATGACGTGGTTTTGGGCGGACACGTGGTGCCCAAGAACGGGAGTGTTAATTTCATGGTTGCGGAGATAGGCTGGGACCCGCAAGTGTGGGAAGATCCCATGGCGTTCAAGCCGGAGAGGTTCTTGAGCAGCGGCGGAGAAGAAGAAGGGTTCGATTTGACGGGGAGCAGGGAGATTAAGATGATGCCGTTTGGGGCAGGGAGGAGGATCTGTCCTGGGTCGGGATTGGCGGTGCTTCACCTGGAGTACTTTGTGGCGAATTTGGTGTGGAAATTTGAGTGGAGAGCTGTGGACGGAGATGACGTGGACCTGTCAGAGTACCAGGAGTTTACTATAGTGATGAAGAATCCATTGCAAGCCCACATAATCCCTAGAATTTACTGCGTGTGAGAATTCTGTACTAATTTTTCGACGCATGTTGAATCGTTAAATCCATCAACATCAATGTATGCTCTTTATTGATCATGTGATTTCGAAAATTTGGAATTTTAGCTTACTAGTGTGATTGAAGACGGATTTTATAACTTCAATATTTAGCGAGTGATTTGAGTGAGTTGTGTTTGCTACTTTTTAGCCTATGACTAATACAACTTTCAAATCTTAGAAGACAACTTCTGTATTTAGAGAGTGCCCATGAGCAAGGAGCATTTGAGAATTTGATGCGATTGCCTACATAGGTACAACTCTCCTTTAATCTTGGTGTTACAGGTCGTCTGATGACTAATTCGAAATCCAAGTTAATGTGGTCTGAACAAATTCGATGTAGTGTTTTTGTTTTTACATTCGTATATCCGGCAATGGAAGAATAAACAACTCTTTGAAGAAAACTTCTTTCCGACAAAGGTGTTAATGTACCATTTCCGTTCATTGCTTAATTTGTTAGATTACGCTTCACCCCAAAATTCGTCATCTGAAGTAATCTCAAGTTTTCAACTTCATGTTTGAGCCCAGAGATAAGGTTAAGCTCTATGGAACTACTATATTTACAACGATCTCTAATAAAACCCTTGTTCTAACCTTGCACCTGTATGCTAGTATTTCTCTTGTATTACTTCAACAACATCTTTTACAAATCATACCCTGCATTTGCACAAGTGTTCAGTATTTATACCGAACTGCAAGCTAAGGCAGTTACAAGATATTTCTCAAATCTTATCTCTAACCACCCAATTATTATTAGCACTAACAATCAACAATTACTAACAGATAGTATACTTAGCACTAACATCCAACAATACTAACAGCATAACATCATCATAACAGCATCCTATCATTACCCCACCCTAAAAATGAACCTTGTCCTCAAGGTTGGAATGCAGGAAACCTGTTGACAAATTTTGCATAGTTTTCCCATGTCGCTTCCTCCTTAGGATGATGCTTCCATTGCACCAAAACCTCTGTCGTGGATGAACTGCCCTGACCTGTTAACCTCCTCCGTAATATTGCCAATGGATAATCCTCCAAGAGTCCGTCCTCTGTAGCTACAGGTAATGGGATTGCAGGAATGATAGCAGAACCCAATTGTTAATGCTATCTTTACAACCCCTCTCAACCCCGCCTCCACCGCATGAATCTGTCCTTGTTGGTGACTTAAAAATGGCTAATTTCAAGCAATTTCTTTCCGACGAGGATGTTCAGGTCCCATTTCCGTTCATTGCTTAATTTGTTGGACTATATGTTTCGTCACCAAGATTCGTTATGTGAAATAATCTCACTTTTTCTACTTCATGTTTTGAAGCCCAGAGAAAAGGTGAAGCTCTATGGAACTACTGTGTTTACAACGATCTTGATCTGATTTCCTTGACAGGTTGAATTTGCTGGGGCGCTGAAATGCGGTGAATATGTGACATTACGCAAAGTTGGGGATGCAAGCCATAAGGTTCGTCAGATACAGATATGCTAACAGTAATAGCACCCAAGTTTTTGGTACAACAGTTGTATTTTTGCAAATGGAAAATCTAACTAGCGTATTTATATTTTTTTATCTTTTTTGTAGGGTGGTGGTTCCGGCACCCAACAAATTGTGATCGAAGGCCCCTTATGCGAGGATTATTACAAGATCCGGGAGTATCTCTACTCACAATTTTATTTGCTTTAAGTAAAGATACATAATATCAAACGCCTTCAGATGAACCGTCATTTAGTCGTGATGTTAATTTCTAGTGATTTCATGAAACACACTAAAGTTTAATTTAAATATAGGACATATTTTCCGTTGAAGTTGATAATTCTGTTCAAATCTTCGAAACAAATTGACAGTTCAAGTAAATCATATTCAAGGAAACAAAACATCACAAACGAATCACAGTTGACATTTTAACTTTTTTACGTGACAATATGCAACGAGTCGGGATAATGCGGCAAACATGACAAGTAAGTTACCATGCATTTTAGCTTCTCACCGATACAATGCTGTGTGATTGGTTTGCGATATTTTGCAGACCCAATAGTTGATCTCCAGGTCAACATCAACGTTGGTCAGCAAAGGAGCTTTATTCGTCTCTTTATAAAATATGGAAACTAACAATTTATTAAGCAAACTCATTTGCCCTTTGTCTGATTGCCGACAGTTGACCATGGTGTTGAGAGAACTTGCCCCCACTAACCTGGACAGAAAGAATACTGCACGTGGATACAATATTCCTTTTCAGGAGATTACCGCATGGTTTCAGCTCATGTGCTCAGATGTGTTGCAACATGGGCAGCTAGGACGCCACCTTTACAACAGCTAGGATTTCATCTTTACAACATTTGTTTATTGCATGCGTGTGTGTAAGATGTATATAAAACAACCGACTGCCATTACAGCAGTTCATGATTAATACGACAAAACATTCAACTTAATACATGGAAACCTGGATCCTGATCCTCATCGCCTTCTGCGTCTCCTTCCTCCTCAAACCCCTTCTTTCCCTATTCCTACCCACTTCCATCTCCAAACCCAAGCTCCCTCCCGGGCCACGCTTCTTCCCCGTCATCGGCGGCTTCTTATTCCTCTTCAAATCCTTCTCGGAGCTCGAGTCTATCATCCTCAAACTCAAGGCCAAATACGGGCCCATCATCTCCCTCCGCATCGGCTCCCGCCCCGCCGTCTTCATCGCTGACCGCTCCCTCGTCCACCAGGCCTTAATCCAGAACGGCGCCGTGTTCGCCGACCGCCCCCGGGCCTCGGCCACCAACAAGTACGCCAGCAGCAACCAGCACAACATCAGCTCCGCCACCTACGGCCCCACTTGGCGCCTCCTCCGCCGCAACCTCAGCTCCGAAATCCTTCACCCTTCCCGCGTCAAATCCTACGACAATGCCCGCAAATGGGTTCTCGACATCCTCGTCAACCGCCTCAAAACCGAGTCTCAATCCCACTCCGAAGCCACCGGCACCGGCGCCGGCGTCAGGGTGGTCGACCACTTCCAATACGCCATGTTCTGCCTCCTGGTTCTGATGTGCTTCGGTGACAAATTGAACGAAGAGCAAATCAAAGAAATCGAGCGGGTGCAGCGCCAAATACTTTTGAGTTCCGGGCGGTTCAATATCCTCAATTTCATGCCTAAATTGACCAAGATTATCTTCAAAAATCGGTGGCGGCAATTCTTCAAAATCCTCGAGGAACGACGAGAAGTGCTCGTCCCTCTGATTCGAGCACGACAAAACAAGGCAAAGCAGGGCAGCAAAAACGACGACAAAGACGATGAATTTGTGTTGTCGTATACTGATACGCTGCTGGACCTCGAGCTTCCCGACGGCAACGAAAAGCGGAAGCTTTCGGAGGGAGAAATGGTCAGCCTCTGCTCAGAGTTTCTGAACGCCGGCACCGACACGACTTCCACCGCGCTGCAGTGGATCATGGCCAACGTAGTGAAGTACCCGCAAGTTCAGGAGAAGCTGTTTGCGGAGATTAAAGGGGTGATGGGAGAAACGGAGGACGAGGTGCGAGAGGAGGTCCTGCACAAGCTGCCGTATCTGAAAGCGGTGATATTGGAGGGGCTGAGGCGCCACCCGCCGGCGCACTTTTTGGCGCCGCACGCGGTGACGCATGACGTGGTTTTGGGCGGACACGTGGTACCCAAGAACGGGAGTGTTAATTTCATGGTGGCGGATATAGGGTGGGACCCGCAAGTGTGGGAGGATCCCATGGCGTTCAAGCCGGAGAGGTTCTTGGGCAGCGGTGGAGGAGAGGAAGGGTTCGATTTGACGGGGAGCAGGGAGATTAAGATGATGCCGTTTGGGGCAGGGAGGAGGTCCTGTCCTGCGTCCGGATTGGCGGTGCTCCACCTGGAGTACTTTGTGGCGAATTTGTTGTGGAAATTTGAGTGGAGAGCTGTGGAGGGAGATGACGTGGACCTGTCAGAGAAGCACGAATCTACTATAGTGATGAAGAATCCATTGCAAGCCCACGTAATCCCTAGAATTTAATACGTGTGAAAATTCTGTACTAATTTTTCAACGCACGTTGAATCGTTAAATCCATCAATGTATACTCTTTATTGATTATGTGATTTCGAAAATTTGGAATTTTAGTTTACTAGTGTGATTCAAGACGGATTTTTTAACTTCAATATTTAGCGAGTGATTTGAGTGAGTTGTGTTTGCTACTTTTTAGCTTATGACTAATACAACTTTCAAATCTTAGAAGACAACTTCTGTATTCAGAGACTGCCCATGAGCAAGGAGCATTTGAGAATTTGATGCGATTGCCTACATAGGTACAACTCTCCCTTAATCTTGGTGTTACAGGTCGTTTGATGACTAATTCGAAATCCAAGTTAATGTGGTCTGAACAAATTCGATGTAGTGTTTTTGTTTTTACATTCATATATCCGGCAATGGAAGAATAAACAACTCTTTGAAGAAAACTTCTTTCCGACAAAGGTGTTAATGTACCATTTCCGTTCATTGCTTAATTTGTTAGATTACGCTTCACCCCAAAATTCGTCATCTGAAGTAATCTCAAGTTTTCAACTTCATGTTTGAGCCCAGAGATAAGGTTAAGCTCCATGGAACTACTATATTTACAACGATCTCGATCTAATTTTTTTGACAGGTTGAATTTGCTGGTGGGGCGTTGAGATGTGGTGAATATGTGACATTACGCAAAGTTAGGGATGCAAGCCATAAGGTTGGTTAGATACAGATATGCTAATAGTATTAGCACCCAAAATTTGGGTGCAACAGTTCCATTTTTGCAGATGGAAAGTCTGATTAGCGTATTTATAATTTGATCTTTTGTAGGGTGGTGGTTCCGGCACCCAACAAATTGTGATTGAAGGCCCCTGTTGTGAGGATTATTCCAATATTCGGGAGTATCTCTACTCACAATTTTATTTGCTTTAACATCATCTCCAACCCTTGGGGATAAAAGCTTAAAAATTTAACTAACCCTTGTTGCTTAAAATTTTAGCCTGTGATGATTAAATAATGATTTTAGCCTAAATTTTAATTTTCTGTAACCTTTTTTTGAAAATAAAATTTATGTAGATTATCTTAATTCATTTTTATGAATGTTTAGTCTAAAAATATTTAAATTCCAATAAGTAATTAAAAAGCATACAAATACATATGTATTTATAAAGTTTTAAGTTAAATTTGATTTAAATAATTTTCTTAAATTATTTTAGACGTTGATTTTATTTTGGGCCGTCAAATCTTTTTTTTAGTATTACATTTGATCGTAGCCGTTAGATTATAAGTAAAAAACAAAAAAAAAAGTTTGAAATATGACAGTTTGATAAGTCCAAAATAATTTAAGTCATGCTTAAATCCTAGGAGAAATCTAGCTTAGAGATATATTTTATCTCCAGGGTTTAGCCGATAATTAAAGATGGTTTGGAAGAGCTTTAAAACTTATATTTTAAGCTTTATTTCGTAAATTGGTAATTATCTAAATGGAGAGACATAATAATTAACGCATTCGGATGAACCGACACTTAATCGCAAGGTTAACTTCTAGTGATCCCAAGAAACACGCTAAAGTTTAATTTCAATGTAGGTCTTATTTTTCGTCGAAGTTGTCATGGAAACCTGGTTCCTTATGTGCAGCTGAGTCAATGCCATGGAAAGTGACAATATGTGCAGCTGAGTCAATGCGATGGAAACCTGGTTCCTTATCAATCTCCATATGAAGTATGGAAACTAATAATTATTGAGCAAACGCATTTGCCCTTTGTCTGATTGCTTACGATTCACCATGGAAACCTGGTTCCTTGTCCTCATCGCCCTCTGCGTCTCCTACCTCTTCAAACCCCTTCTCTCTCTATTCCTACCCGCTTCCATCTCCGGACCTAATCACCCTCCCGGGCCCCGCTGCTTCCCCGTCATCGGCGGCTTCTTATTCCTCCTCAAATCCTTCTCGGAGCTCGAGCCTATCATCCGCAAACTCCAGGCGGAATACGGGCCCATCATCTCCCTCCGCATCGGCTCCCGCCCCGCCGTCTTCACCGCCGACCGCTCCCTCGCCCACCAGGCCTTAATCCAGAACGGCGCCGTTTTCGCCGACCGACCCCGGGCCTTGGCCACCAACAAGTGCCTCAACAGCAACCAGCACACCATCGCCTCCGCCGTCTACGGCCCCACGTGGCGTCTCCTCCGCCGCAACCTCACCTCCGAAATCCTGCACCCTTCCCGCGTTAAATCCTACGGCAACGCCCGCAAATGGGTTCTCGACATCCTCGTCAACCGCCTCAAAACGGAGTCTCAATCCCACTCCGAAGCCGCCGCCGCTGGCGTCAGGGTGGTTGACCATTTCCGATACGCCATGTTCTGCCTCCTGGTTCTGATGTGCTTCGGCGACAAATTGAACGAAGAGCAAATCAAAGAAATTGAGCGTGTGAACCGCCAACTACTTGTAAGTTTCGTGCGGTTCAATATCCTCAACTTCAATCCGAAATTGACGAAGATTATCTTTAAAAATCGGTGGCGGCAATTCTTCAAAATCCTCGAGGAACGACGAGAAGTGCTCGTCCCTCTGATTCGAGCACGACAAAACAGGGCAAAGCAGGGCAGCAAAACCGACGACAAAGACGATGAATTTGTGTTGTCGTATACAGATACGCTGCTGGACCTCGAGCTTCCCGACGGCAACGAAAAGCGGAAGCTTTCGGAGGGAGAAATGGTCAGCCTCTGCTCAGAGTTTCTGAACGCCGGCACCGACACGACTTCCACCGCGCTGCAGTGGATCATGGCCAACGTAGTGAAGTACCCGCAAGTTCAGGAGAAGCTGTTTG